CCTTTTGTGGTTAATAAAAGGCATATAGAACCTGGAGGGAAATTACAAGTGCAAGTTGAGTACCTTGCATGTTTTGACGTTTGAAAACCTGACTCCAGAGAATCATTGACTCATACATTGCAAGTTTCCGTGCTTAATGAAGTTTGGGGCACACATATTACTTGTGTTTGTGAGATCGCCGCATCGCGCACCCCAAGTTTGTCGCTCCCGTACGGAAAGCAGGGCCGAGCGGGGGTGGGGAGGGTCTCCAGTCCCAGGCGCGGCTGCACTCGGGGCTTCTGCCCAGTTTCCTGCCTCGGAGTTGTCGTGTCCGCCCCAGCTCAGAGCAGTTTGTGCAATTTAGAAACCCGATAGGAGGCAGCAGCTGATCTCCCACCACCCTAAAAATAATCCGCTCCGTCGCCCTGCGTGCTTCGCCTAGGGGAGGAAAACTGCCTTCGGAGTAAGTGCGTCTGTATTTTTTACATAAACATGATTTAAAAAATTTAAGAGTAACTGTAAACTGTCGATTTTGGCAATCAAAAGGCGCCCGCGCGCTCACATGGCGCTCTGGCTTCAGGGTAGCTATTTCTAGGATTAAGGCACCCGGCCCCAGCCGGGGAAGAGAGGGCGTGGGGATCAGGTTTCCAGCTTTACTTACAAAACTTTGCCGACTCCTACTTAAAACCAGCCAGGAATAGTGCAGAGAGTTATTACTAATTTTTTTTTTCTTTGAGACATTCTCCTATATTCATGAAGTTGTTTTCTATCTGCTTAATTTTTGTTACTCTTTACTTTTTAGGAGTTCTGCGTCTGGGTTTGAAATTTGCACTTAAAACAGTGTAGGAAGCCGGTGTTTTGAAGGTAGTGCAAGTGCACGAGTAGGGGTTTGAAGCAGCAGCAAGCGACCGCCCAAGGTATTTACTTTTTCCTTTTTGTTAAGTTTGGAATTAAAAAATATATATATCCCACTGGCATGTGTGAATCTTATCTTCTGAGTACCATTTCCTTTAGTGTGCGATAGAACTCCAACGGGTGCATTGAGATCAGGCACTAAATCAGGAATCAGTGGTCATTTTTGCTAGTGATTTTCCTACTTGGATCTGTCATTTGTAGATAGATAGATAGACATCTTTTAGTCATATTTTGTGAACCACTGACTGAGAAATTTCAGAGGTTATTAGATTACATGCCCTACATTCTTTACAATGCCATGTTTCTCTCTCATAGTGTATAGTTAATCTCTGAATAACTAAAGAACGAGTTATGTTGTATATAAGAATTAAGTTTTTATATTGCTTTTAGCATGTTTTCTTCAGGTGTTTCCAGCATGTTTAAGTTCCCTGTGGCTGTTGCTCCGTTAAAACTGACACTTTCTTCTGGGTGAACAGGAAAGAGTGTTAGTTTTTACTTACTTTACTTTATAGTCATCAACTAAATCCCAATTTTATAACTCCTGAGGGTGTGGAACTTCATATAATGCATTTCAAAGAATACTGAGGGTAGGATTCTTGCGATGAAATCGTAAGTTTGGTCCTCAAGGAGTATTTTCTTTCTGTGTTTTCTGTTTTGCAGACCATCCCTGTAATCAGAGTTTCACTTTTGACATTTGTCTTTAAGATTCATTCAGTCAAGTTCTTCGACCCTGTCTGCTGTCATACATCTTTCAGTAGATGTGTGCTCGTGGGGAGAAAAGTGTCATGTCTTCCCATCTGGCCTCTTTTTCCTCTCCCTCCTCCTGGATGCTTGGGCCTCTGTCCGTGCTTAGTTGAACTAGACAGCTCCAGAAAGGGCAGGACTCAGGGGGGTCACGTGACAGAGTTTAGCCAGCAAGAGCAGCAGCACGTTACACTGTTCCCAAAGCGTCCCTGACTTAATCAGGGTTCTGGGAGGGAAAACCCTGAATGACAATCAGAGATTTAAAAATTAATTAAAAGTCCTGATTGAATAAAATGCCTTTGGTAAACACAGTAATTATCAACATATCTATAAGTTTACTCCTTTCCTCTTTTTGCCCATGTTGAGTTGTAATAATATGGGCTGACTGTTAGGATGTGCTACATGTGCACTGTATGTTGGAGAAAGAAGCTAAGGGTCAAAGGGAAATGGATGGAGGAGGAAAAGACAGAAACAAAAACAAAAGGAGAGATGTGGTGAGAGGTAGAGAACAGGTTGGGAGCCCCAGGGAATGTGAGGTTAGAGATTATGGTAGAAGGAAGAAATCATTCTAAAGCTTTCACTTTATTAATCTGAAGTGTATGCTTTAGTATGATCATATCATTGTATAGCTCCCTGTCTGGTAGATCATAACCTTTACATTATACCAAGAACTATTGGGATTAGTGTAGTCTGATTTATACAGTCTAAGACCACAGGTACTGTTTCTGTCATATGCACTCTTGGTTTCCCAGTGCCTAGCACATGTTTAGCATCAGTAAGTATTTTTATAGTTAATTAATGGCCCAGAATTTCAGACATCAGGTACACGACTGGAAACGTTCTTTGACTTTTTCAACTTGCAGTAGTGCTCTGATAGTTTCATTCCACCGTTACACATTTATCCAGAGGTTACTTGATTGGTAGGTTTGAGGATTGATTAAACATAGCAGGCAGACTTACTATAGCCAATGAAATATATGTTTTGCAAATTCAAATTATACTTTAGTGTCTGGTGCAATGATAATGATTAAATGTCAAGATTTATAAATGTGACCAATTGGAATAGCATAATTTTGAATAAAATTATAAAATTAGCAAAAGTAAAAATTGTTTCCCGTTCGTTCTAGGAAACAGTTTATACATGTCTTTCAGTAAGAGTGAGATCAAGTTTCTTTTTATCATTTCTACTTAATAAAAGAAATAGTCTTAGAAGTTCCATTAGTAGCTATTATTTTTTAGGTGTTTGTTTTTTCTAGGTTTACAGACATACATCACTGTATAAGTTTAAGGTGTACAGCATGATGTTTAATTCAGATGTATTGAGAAATGATTACCACAGTAGGTGTAGTTAAAATCCATCACCTCATATAGCTACAAATTCCATTTTACTGTTATTTAAAAAACCTCACACTGCTTTTAATTATTCTATGAGGCTTAGAGCCTTAATAGTTGCTAAGAATTTGCCAAGTATATACCCTCATCTTGAGTTGTTTTTAATATAATTTTTTCAATGAGAAAAGGTCTCAACTAGAGATCATATCAATGATGTTCAATGAAAGGGCTTAACAGAAACAATATGTGAGAGGAATTCCATATAAGTATCTACAGACTGTAAGCACAGGCATTTTAGTTAGTTCTAGTAATATAAAGCTTATAAAACTTGTGCTTGAAATTTGGTTTCTCCAACAGATTACCTACTGTTGCCAGTATTTTCTGTGTAACACTCTTTATTTTTTTCCTAGGAAAAAATATTGTTTGTGACCATTGCTAAATCATTTCTCAATGAATGGGAAGAGAGAAAAGGTACTTATAAACTCATTTAAACTTTCGCCAACCTTTGATAATCTAACTCAGAATCCAGTGTGACATATATGTGTAGATTCTTTCCAAAGTCCAGTGAGGTTAAAATCTTAAACTCTACTCTTTTAATGACAGTAGAGAAGATGTTTAAAAAAATAGGTTGGAGGCTGCATGATGCAGTGGGAGAAAAATAGTTTAAGTCAGACACATGGATATGGATCACCACTTCTCTACTGGTTGGCAAGTTACTGAACCTCACGATGCCCTTATGTAAAATACAAATAATTAACATCGCACGGTTGTTATAAGGATAGTGTATGCAAAGTGCCCAGAATTTGGCAGAGACTGAGTAAATAGGAGGCATTATAAAAGATTTTTTCAGAAGGCTAAAACTTTCCAGAATTTCATAGTAGTATTTTGATGAAGCAAACCCTTGCTCCTATACCATCTGTTTCAGCACAGCAATGAGAGGAATTAATTTAAAATTTGAGTCAGAGGGCACCTAGGTGGCTCAGTCAGTTAAGCGTATGACTTTGGCTCAGGGCATGATCTTGGAGGTTCCTGAGTTCTAGCCCCACATCAAGCTCTGCACTGCTTGGGATTCTCTGTCTCTCCCTCTCTCTCTGCCCCTCCCCCACTGGCTCGCAAGTGTACCCTCTCTCTCTCTCTCTCTCTCAAAATAAATAAACTTAATTTTTTTTTTTTAAATGTGAGTCAGAGTATGTCAGTCCTCTGATCAAAACCCCCCAGTGGCTCCATTTCACTGAGTAGAAGCCAAAGTCTCAACAATAGCTAGAAAAACCTCTGGTTTATCTTGTTTCCTTTCTAAATCTGTCTACTTCTACTCTAATGTAATATTGATTTCTAATTAAAAGACATGTTTTTTTGTTTTAAAACTTGAATAGGGTGCATTTCATGTAAGAATATTCTCTGACTGTGGGACCTGAGTAATTTCATTAAATTGTCACTTGAGTTATATTTAATTTGTCTGAAGCACTTGGTTTTAATATCCTTCAGAGAAAGGCTGATTGCTGTTTGCAGCCACATTGGTCTCTGTGTATTCGTATTTCCTGCAGTGAAAAATGACGGTAAATTTTACCAAACTTAAGTTGTTTGCTAATGCATTTTCAATGAGAGAAGATGAAAAAGGATTTGATATTACACTATTTTGTAATATCGGTGAATAGTTTCATTTTTTCTTTCTTTTTCTTGAGATATGACCATTTTTGTTCTTTGAAATCATTTTAGCCAAACACACGCTTCTTTAAGGTACCATCATTGGTAGATATTAATAATGACATATCTCCCAAGTTAAAATAAAATATCTTTCTCTGAAAAAAAAAAAGATTGAAAGAGAATGATCTATAGAATGCACAGGCCTTTCTAAGAAACTCTCAAATGATTTTGGCATACAGTTTCCTATTTCCACAACTGCAAAAATAAAGGGGGTTAATTTTATAATAAAACCTCTTCCTTAGGGCTATGATTTTATAAAAGGGAATTTAATAATAAGAGGCTCTTTCTCTTTTCTCTTCCTTTTAGAGTAAACCATATAAGAAGAAATGAGCCTTTCATTCTGTGGTAACAACATTTCTTCATATAATATCAGTCATGGTGTATTACAAAATCCCTGCTTTGTGGATGCCCTCAACCTGGTCCCTCATGTCTTCCTGTTGTTTATCACTTTTCCAATATTGTTTATTGGTAAGTAATCTACTGTCCTATATTTCATCACCTAATATTTATTTTAAAAGGCTTATTAGTGGCTGAGATTTGGTATAATGTTTATTTAATTTTTCTGACATGAAAACTTATGCGTAAATCTGTGGGAAAAGAACAAACAAGTATCTTGTGCTTCCCAATTATTTATATTTGTGGCATAGGATATTCTGTAGATAAAATAGAAGTCAGATGCCTTCTTAGAAATGGACTTGAAGTAGTAGCAGCAGTTTTTTTAAGAAGGGGGAAAGAGAATTATATGCGATAGATCTAAATCCTTTGTTGAGCACTTGTTTTGTGCTGGTTGAAGAGAATGGAAAATGGGTAAAATGCTTATGAGTGGGCCAGCACTATTCAGAAGTGGCCTGGAATAGTACTTGACCTGGAATATTCACTGGGTTTGTCCAGTGAAACAGATGCATCAAAGTCAAGAGAAAAATGACTATCCCACATTGTAAGTTCATGTGCAGCTATAGAAACACATTTTCCTGGGCATTAACTTGCTAGAACAACTAATTCTTGGGACTAGTGGGAAAGATTGCATGGGAAGTGACATGTTTGGGGACCTGAGGACACAGAACTTGCAAATTTGAGTAGGAGTGATAAGGGTGCATTCCAGGTAGAAAGAATACTTATGTGAACTATTTGGAAAGGAGTTAAAAATACAGTTTTCCCTACTATTTTTCAGCTTACATATAACAAAAACCCAGTTATTTAGAGCAATTATATATAATTTGCATCACTTCCCCAAAACAACCAAAATAGACCTTTAACTTAAATTTTTTAAAATACATTTCATGTACAAAAATGACAAAGACTATGGGGCGCCTGGGTGGCGCAGTCAGTTAAGCGTCCGACTTCAGCCAGGTCACGATCTCGCGGTCCGTGAGTTCGAGCCCCGCGTCAGGCTCTGGGCTGATGGCTCAGAGCCTGGAGCCTGTTTCCGATTCTGTGTCTCCCTCTCTCTCTGCCCCTCCCCCGTTCATGCTCTGTCTCTCTCTGTCCCAAAAATAAATAAAAAACGTTGAAAAAAAAATTCAAAAATGACAAAGACTAATATAATAAACATCTATTGAGTCTATCATCACTCATCTTAAGGAATCTAATGGTGAGAATATAAGTGAATCCCTCTGTGTACTATTTCCTGAGCCTGTTACTCTTCCCACATCCTATGTTCCTATCCCTTCAAGAGGTAACCACTATCTGATTTTAGTGTTTGATACTCCCATGCACAATGTTGCTTATAAAAATAAATGAAAAAGCTACCAGACTGATTTTCTTAAGAAAATTAGCATAGGTTAACAATCTGCTTTAAAAGGAGGTTTAAAAATAATTTGTATGATTTTATTTCTTAATTTAACAAATGTTAATTGAGAGACTACTATATACCTGGCATTGTCACAGTGATCAAAGAATTTCTGTTATATATCTTATCATGCAGAGGCCAGTGCAACTCTTGATATAGACACTAAATATTTGGACTATGATGGCCATATATAAAAACACGAATTGTTGTTTACATGGTGTTGCTGGTAGGACAATGCCCTTTGGCCAAAAGTAGCCTATATATTTTTGTATTGCAATACAACAGTTAATTATTCATTTTTGACATTCATCCAACTTCTTCAGGGCAATTACTGTGACAGTCTTGTCTGTTTGCATCTCGAGCCTCAAACACAGGCTGGCGAAAGAGTATTTGACTCAAGTAGAATCAGAGTTAACATTGTCAAAGAGGTGGGGAAAAATACAGACTGTTCATCTATAATATTGGCTCCTTGAGCTAGTGAGAGATCATAAATAAATCCTAAAGAAGTATCAGGTATAAGGAAAGCTTGCCTGCAAGAGTATACAGCATAAATTCCAGTTCAATATTTTAAATGTAACTAATATTTCAATAATGAAGTTCATTTGGGAACAACTAAGACATGAATAAATTTGCTTTTCAAAGAATGCTTCAGGGGTCCCATTTGTTTTTGCAGAAATTGCTTCCTGCAATATTTTGAGTGCAAACCCCGATTCATTCTTGAAGTATGTGAGGCTTCTCCACAGACAAAAAATTTCTTTGAGAAAAACTACTATCTCTGATGAATAGTGCTGGCCCACTCATAGGTTATAATTTTTCTCACATGATATGCATATGATTGAGTTGACTCAAGTAATGAGTTCTACATTTCATTACCAAATATGGCATTTTTCATTAGTCCCCCTGCAGATCCCATGTTTTGAAAGAGTTTAGACACCAAATTGCTTTTATTAACATCATCATTAACTCAGTTTCCTTTTGAATGAATCAGGGACCTGTCAGTAAGAGCTCTGATTAGCATGAGTTAACCATGGTATCACCCAGAGTTGGTGTTATTCTTGAGCAGTGCAGCAAATGTCAATGTGTTAACCGAGGCAGTCTCATAACAATTGAAATTGTTAGTTTTTTTAACATAATGAAAATAGACCAGGATTTTCATTGCTACCCTAGAAAGCACATCTCGTTCCTGTTTGAGGAACCACCCATCCCCCAAATGATATCACAATGTGAATTATTCCCATGATTATAATTAATACTTTCATCTTTCTATTTCTTCTCTTTTTTTCCAGGGTGGGGAAGTCAAAGTTCGAAAGTACAAATTCACCACAACACATGGCTTCATTTTCCTGGACATAACCTGAGATGGATTCTTACATTTGCTCTTCTCTTTGTGCATGTTTGTGAAATAGCAGAAGGCATTGTTTCTGATTCGTAAGTGATTCAACACAGTTACTATCATTACACTATACTAGTGAGTATGTTGATATGGATGGGAGTTAAGAGAACACCAGGTCAGGCTTAACTTTTTTAGTTATGACTTATTAAGAACAACGGCTGTCACTCATTTCATAGTAGTCCTGTTTATTTATGGTTTCATTTACCCATGATCAACCGAAGTCTGGAAGCAGATGATCCTCCTTCTGATGTACTGGCACAAGGTCAATAAGGTCAGTAGTAACCTAACATTACATCACAGTGTCTATGTCTTTCACCTCATCATGTAGGCATTTTATCATCTCACATCATCGCAAGAAGAAAGGTGAATACAGTACAATAAATTATTTTGACAGAGAGGGAGAGAAATCACATTCACATAACTTTTATTGCAGTATATTATTATAATTATTCTATTTTATTATTATTAGTTGTTAATCTCTTATTGTGCCTAACCCATGTATTAAACTTTATCATAGGTATGTATGTATAAGAAAAAACATAGTATATATAGGATTCTGTACTATCTGTGAGTTCAGGCATCCACTGAGATCTTGGAACATATTCCCCACAGATAAGGGGGCACTGCTGCCTTTGATAATTATGTGTTTTGTCTGTGTTTTTATGTTAATACATAATTTCTCTGATAACAAAAATTCAGATCACTGTGGCTTGCGCTTATTCATGTGTTTTCTATTTCTTTGTTCCTTCACTTATGTAGCCCTTGCAGAAAGTTCTCTCCTTTTAAACAGTTTGATGTTTATATTACCAACATAGATATACATGGAAAGATTGTCTATATTGACATATAGCTCTAAGAGTTATATATTTACATATAAATATGTAACCAGTTCTCAAGTGTTTCAGTTTATTTTATAAAGAAGCAAAGGTAGATGAGGCAGGCATTAAAGATGTCTGAGAACCAGTGAGAATATAGCCACAAATTGAGGCAAAACACAAAACTGTCTTAAAATCAGGATTTCTCATAAAGCTCATGTTTTTGAAGGAATTTTGCCATTTATTTTTTTATTTTTTTAAATATTTATTTTTGAGAGAGAGAGAGAGACAGAGCCTAGGAGGGGGAGGGGCAGAGAGAGAGGGAGACACAATCCAGAGCAAACTCCAGGCTCTGAGCTGTCAGTACAGAGCCTGACGTGGAGCTGGAACCCATGAACCACAAGATCATGACCTGAGCCAAAGTGTGCAAATTAACCAACTGAGCCACCTAGGTGCCCTGGAATTTTGTCATTTATAAGAATGAAAAAAAAGTTTGCATTTGGCAGTTAGAATATAGTGAATTCTACTTATAAATTTAAACATAATGTGGGGAGGATATTTTTATCACATACTAACAAAAAATAGGAAATAATTTTGATAGGCAGTATCAAATAGAATTTTGAAATTATGCTAAATGGTACACCGTTTTTTTTAGAGAGAGAGAGAAAGAGAGCACAGGCGAGCAAGTTAGTGTATGGGGAAGGGGCAGAGGGAGACAGAGAATGTTAAGCAGGCTCCACACCCAGAGCAAAGCCTGAGGCAAGGCTTTGGGCTCTAATTCATGACAGTGAGATCATGACCAGAGCAGAAATCAGCAGTCTGTGCTTAACTGACTGAGCCACCCAGGCGCCCCTAAATGGTACACCTTTAATTAAAGAATTGATATGAAAGTGTTTTTTT